CACATTCCCAGACAACCAGAACAAGTCACATAAGCCTCTTCCTGGTCCTCTTCAGCTCTCCCTTATGGACAAGTGAGAAAACCACCAAACCTTCACCTACTCCCTCTTCACCCACATGCACAAGCAGAGAAAAAAGGAAGAAAGCAGCCCTGGCACTTCTAAGCAGATGACTATGAAAAGCAGCATTTTATAGTGCCAGAGATCTTAAATGCAGGGAAATTAGATCACTACAATTGAGTACAGAGTTAAGGGAGGGTACCTGCAGATAGACTACATTACAGATAGACTATGTCCACACCAGTAAACCAAGCAATGCCAGGAATCTTTCCCTGGAAATGGAATTCACTGTCACACAGACTGCTGAGCTGCCACACACCAGCACAGCATCTTTGTAACATAAGCCAGCTACAGGTCTCCCATGCAAATTTCCTGTTCTGGAAGGCAAGAGAGTTAAACAGCATTGACAAGGGCTAACCCACAGCACTTAGCTTCAGAACCAGAAAATGGTCTTGGGTGCATTTCATTAACTACAGAGAAGTGATCACAGCCTCTCCAAGCTTTATCTCTTATTATGCCTAGAGGAATAAAAGTGGCAAATGCAATGATGAAGCACACAAGCAATGCCTGATCAGCAGCACCTGACAAAAGTCACCTACGCATTGTAGCGCACAAGAAGAAAATTAGAAACTCATAGAGTTCATCATGCCTTCTTTCTGTTTCCTCTGAGTAGGCAGACACTGCATATGAACTACTAATTTCCTGAGTCTCATTTATTTTCTCACTTGAAAAAAAAAAAGTTTTATACATTTAGGATACATTCTTACAGGACGGCTACTTTCTAATAAAAAAGAAAGGTAGAACAGCTAAGAGAACATACTTTAGAGGGCTGATGATTTGGCAGTAGATATTTCAAAGGGAAGTTATTTAGAAATTATTCTTCTTCTAATTACTAATCATTACCAAATTTGCTTCTGTAGACCAAGAATGCAATACCAGTGGGTCTATATTGTTATGCTGGAGCTACAGCAACATAGGCAAATACATTTTCACAACAGATAACTGTGCAAAAAGAACAAAAAACCCCATATTTGACAATTGACAATACACAGCTATTCTGTGTAACTAATCGTTAAACAAATCTCTTTCACATTTCTTTACATTTTCAGTTCACTTGAAATGGTCTATTTAAAACTGCCCTTTTCATAATCTGATGCCTCTGACGCCTTTGCTCTAATGTTAGAACGTGCAATATGTCCCACAGAAAATGCAATATGCAAAACCCATTTGCCACTGCTTAAGCATTCATTACCCATTTCAGTAAGGACAAACAATTTTGTTTAACAACCTTCTTGGGCACGGATCTCACTTTTTCACTTTGCCTAGCTCTGATCATTAAAAATTCCTATGTTACCTGTATCTTTCTGCAAATGAACTGTTTCCTTGGAAAAATGTTCTTGTTCATTTACAAGAAAAACTTTATCATATGAATTGTTATATATATATACACATATACATACACTAGGCTGCAGTGTATCATTTGACTTTTACAAAACAAGCCTGGAAAACCATGCGGCACACGCAAACAAAAATTACATACTCTTTTAAGTAGATTAAAAACAATCAAAACCAAGCGAGATGTTTCTATTTATTTTTTCCAGGAGCGGCACGCACACACGGCACCTACACCGACAGGTTGGAGAGTTGAGCAGAAGCAGCAGCAGCAGCCTGACGAGCAGGTGACAGCGAGCAGAGAGCTCCCCCGTGCCTCTCTAAGCAGTGTCCCGGCAGCCGGTGGGAGCCAGGCCAGCTCCCGGGACGGAACCCCGGCCGGAAGCGCGGNGGGGATCCCTTCTGCCGGTGAGGGACCGGGCGGGGACAGCGGGGCTCGGGGACAGCAGGAACTGGGGGCTGGGAGCCTCCGGAGGGCGGGGGCTTGGGAGCTTTGGGTCTTGGGGACATCGGGGATTGGGGACATTTGTTCTCAGGGATGTCGGGTGTCTGGAGCGTTGGGATGTTGGGGCTGGGGACGTTGGAGCTCTGGGATTTCAAGGTTTGGGGACATCGGGGGCAAGCAACATCAAGGCTTGGGGACACTGAGTCTTGGGGACATCGAGGAGGGGGGACAGTCATGTTTGGGGACGTGGCTCACGGGGATCACTGGATCTCTGAGGACGTTGTTCTGTGGGACATTGGTCTCGGGGACACCGAGGGGGCTTTGGGTGTGGGGATGTGGGGTCTGGGGGTGTCGGCACAGGCACCCCATGTCCCCGTGTCCCCCAGCGGCTGCTTCCGCGAGTACTTCGTGCACAAGTTCCGCGCCATGCTGGGCAAGAACCGCGTCATCTTCCCGGGAGAGAAGGTACCGGGAGTGGGGACACAGACAGGGGACCCGGGGGTGGCACCAGGGCCCGTGACCGTCCCTGCTGTCCCCACAGGTGCTGCTGGCAGTGTCAGGGGGCCCGGCCTCCTGTGCCATGGTCCGGCAGGTGCAGGAGGTGAGAGTGGGGGTTCGGGGGGCCTTGGGGGTGCAGGGCTCGTTCACTCCCTCACCCCACTCCTTACCCCACTGCTCTGCCAGGGGCTCAGCCGGGAGGCGGCCAAGAGGCTCCGCTTCGTCCCTGGCCTCGTCTACGTTGAGGGTGAGAGAGCCTGGCTGCTGCTCTGGGTCCCAGCTGCCCATTCCCTACTCCATGTCCAGCTGCCCATTCCCTACTCCATGTCCAGCTGCCCATTCCCAGCCCATTCCCTGCCCCACTGCCTGTTCCCAGCTCACTGCCTGTTCCCTGCCCTGTTCCCAGCCCACTGTCCATTCTCTACCCCTTTCCCAGCCCTTTCCTTGTACATTCCCAGCCCCACTCCCTGCCCCATTACCAAGTCCCAGCACAGTGTCAGGGTGCTGCCACCCTGGCCCCAGGAATGGGGCTGGCAGTGTGACAGCAGCCCTGGCACTGTCCCCTGGCCTTCCAGAGGGAGCCGTGCGCAGGCAGAGCCCGGAGCAGCGTGAGCAGACCCTGGCCCAGATGGAGACCCTGCTGCAGGCCACTGGCTTCCCCTACCACCTGATCCACCTGGAGGAGGTACTGGGGTGACCTGGGGACAGGTCTCGAGGTGAGGGGATGCATCTAGACAACTTCCCCCGTATCCCTCTGTGCCCCACAGGCGCTGGAGCTGCCCCCATCCATCTTACAGCCAGGGCCGGAGCGCGCCAGCGTGTCCAGCCCATCCGGCCCTTCCTACAAGGAGGCCGTGGACAGCTTCATCCAGCAGCAGCGGCAGGATGGGGACACTGGCACCTCTCTGCCCGGTCACAGCTCCCAGGACACACCAGCAGGACCCCCGGCCCCCCTCCGCCTGCCGGACACTGCCCAAACCCAGGAGCTGCTCCGCGCCTTCGAGGCCGCGGGGACGGCGACCGCGCGGGAGGAGCTGCTGGAGATGCTGCGGTGAGGGACTGACCCCGCCGGTGCCAGCGCCAGGTGGGCAGGGTGACTCTGATCCGCTGGCACCTCGTCCCCAGGACCCACCTGATCGTGCAGACCGCCCGGGACAGGGGCTACGCCAAGGTGATGATGGGCGAGAGCCTCACGCGCGTGGCCATCAAGCTCCTCACCAACCTCTCCCTGGGGCGCGGCGCCTTCCTCGCCGTGGACACGGTGAGCTGGGGACGGGCACCTGCACCCAGGGGGTGACACGACGCCGTGGGGGGCTTGGCTTGGTGGTGGCACGGTCCCCTGGCAGCCCTGCACCCATAGGGCTTCACAGACCAGCGCCACGGTGACGTGATGGTGGTGAGACCCATGCGGGATTACACGGCCAAGGAGATCGCCTTCTACAACTTCTTCTTTGGCGTCCCCACCGTCATCGTGCCGCCCCTCTTCACCAAGGTAGGGGGGTGCCGTGGTGGGGAGCCCACGCTCAGTGTCCCCAAGGCAGGGACAGGACCCCGCCAGTCCTGCCCTGCCCTCCCCATTGGTTCCCACAGCGCCGGGAGAAGCCCAGCATCCACCAGCTGGTGGAGCGCTTCCTGCTGGGGCTGCAGGAGGAGTTCCCCTCCACCATCAGCACCGTGTACCGGTACGGGGCATCCATCTGGGGGTGCTGGGGGTCTGGGAGGAGTGGGGTGCACCCCCAACCCCTGTGTTGGCTGCAGGACAGGGGAGAAGCTGAGCCCGGAGCCGGCCAAGGCCAGCAGTGAGTCACAGCGCTGCCTCCTCTGCCTCTGCGCCCTGGACATTGATGGGGGTGAGTGGGGAGGGCACTGGGGGATTTGGGGAGCAGCCGTGCACCCCTCAGTGACCCCCTGGCTCTTACAGAGGAGGAGTTGGCCCTGGAGCCCACGCTGATCCTGGACGAGCCAGCAGCAGGGTGAGCACATGGGCTGGGGGCATCCCAGGGTTCCACACCCACTCCCAGGCACCGCTGAGTGTCCCCGTCCTCATCCCTGTCCCACAGGGTGGAGAGCAAAGCTGCCTACATCCCCCTGCTGTGCTACAGCTGCCGCCTCACCTTCAAGGAGCTGGTGAGGCTTTGGGGTGCCGGGGGGTGGTTCTAGGGGTGATGGGGGTCCCCAGGCTCACGGCCCCTCTCGTGCAGGGTCCCCTCGACACGCTGCCACCCTACGTGCGCGCCGAGGGCCAGCGCAGGATCCACAGGTACCGGGGCTGGGGGGCCCCTCCCCACCTGCTCAGCCCCCGAGGCCGTGTCCATCCAGTGTCTGTCCCTTGCAGAGCTGAGATGGAGCAGAACCAGGAGTCCAGTAAGAGCTGAAGGGGTTGGGGACAGCAGGGGACACGCTCCCATCCCACTGTGGCACTGCTGGGGCAGGTGTCACTCCTCAGGGATACCCCAGAGGTTGGTGAGGACTCCTGACACCCAGGCTTTTATACCCTGTTTCTGTCCCAGCCAAGGGCAGGGAGAGCCCCCAGCCCCCGTTTTTTGGGGGCTGGGGTGCAGGTCCCCGGTCCCCCCCACCTCCCTGCCCCAGCTGCCTGTCAGCCAGGGAGGACTCAAGTTTGTTTTATTCGCTATCTGTATAAATAAACCATTTGAATTAATAATAAAAAAAACAAACCAAAGTCACAAATGTCTAAAGTCCAACTGGGGCTGCCAGACCCCCTCAAATGTGGGGGGCCACAACCCAGGACCCCCATCCTGGAGCTGGGGGCAGGGGGACTATTGCTTGAGTTCAACCTGGTTCTGGAGCAGGGCTGGGGCCAGCAGGGAGGGGGCACGGGCTGGCTCTTGACCCCTCCCCATCCCCAGCTGGCAGCCAGGGGTGCCCAGTGGGTGGGGGGTGCCAGCTCCTGTCCCCGTCCCCGGGGAAGGCACAACGTGGTCTGTGCAGGTTGGACGGCTTCAAAGCAACGTAAGAAAAACATCCAGAAAAACATCCTCCCTCCAAGGGAGCGCCCAGAACCCCACATCCCACTGCCTCCCGGGCCGGGATGCGGCCCCAGCTGGGGGGGCTGGTTAAGGCATTGGCGGTGATGTCCCTGTTTTGGGGGGGCTGGAGCCCCTTCCCCTTAGTTCTTCTCCCGTGTCCACTTGATCATGGTCTCGGGCGAGCGGTAGAGGAAGATGAGCTTGGCGTAGAGCTCCTCCTCCAGCTCCAGCTCACCCGTCTCCCGCACCAGGAAGATGTCCTGGCACAGCTTCAGGATGCGATCCACGCAGGGCAGCTCCTCGAACATGATGGAGTGGGAGATCTCGCTGAAGAAGCCCCGCACGAACTTGCCGATCACCAGCACGATGGACACGTAGAGGCCCATGATCCTGCAAGGGGTGGGAGCACATCCTGGATCCCTGGATCCCAGCAGCAGCTCCCTCCGGATCCCCCCACGCCCTGGCACCCTCCACGTACCCGTAGCCAGCCAGGAAGCCCAGGCTGGGGGGGCTGACTTTGTCGTTGAAGATGATCATGGGGAGGATGTTGCCCTCTTGGGGTGGGGCGTCCTTCAGCCTCAGCACCCACCACTCCACAAAGTGCTCACCAAGGCCAGAGCCCCTGCGCTCCTGCTTCAGCTGCACCTCCACGTCCAGGTAGCTCTCCACGTCATCTGGAGAGGGTGACAGCATCAGCACAGCTGCTCTGCTCTTAAGGATGGGTTTTTTTTGTGGGGAGTAACACAGTGGGACTCATGTCCTCACTGTCTGCAGGGGCTGGCAGCACCAGGGCCCAGCACTGGTGTGCTCCCAGTGCTGATGGTTTCAGGCAGGGTCACACTGGGACTCGTGTCCTCCCTGTCTCCAGAGAGGTGGAGCCCAGTGCTGGTTTTCTCATGGGGGACATGTTGGGACCTACCTGGCAGCAGCTGCTCGACAGGTTCGGCTTCGAGCCCTGTGGGTGCCCGGATGTATTTGGGGAAGAGGTTGGGCAATTCCCTGCAAGAAAGTGGAGTGATGGGGCTGGTTAAAGCATCGCAGTGAGCACAGGGGTCCAGTCAGCCCCTGAGGGGACACTCACACGGGGCGATCCCTGGTGCCATCCAGCAGCTGGGCCAGCTCCAGGCGCTGGCGCGCACCGGGCTCCAGGTAGGTGATGTGCTTGCCGTAGGCGTTCTCCACAGTGCCCCCCTTGCTCAGGTCCCTGCGGGCAGGAGAGGCTCGGTGTGGGCAGGGGGATGTGGGGCAGAGCTGGCTCCTCCCTGGCCGTGCCCCAGGTACCTCTGGAAGCTCCAGGTGAGGTGCAGGGTGATGGCAGAGGAGCCGTTCTTCAGCTCCTCCCACATCTGCTTGCGGCTGGGGGGGCTGATGCCCCACAGCGAGCCCGAGCTGCCCTCGATGCGGGCGGTCACGATGTCCTCCTCGCCATAAAGGGAGATGAACTGCATGGCCAGCTGCCACCAGAGGGGACACGGCTCAGCCCCGGCCCTGGGGACTCTGCCAGCCCTGCCCCGGGCAGCCAGCAGGGATCTTTTGGGGTGGGATTTACCGGCTCGTTCTCGAACTCTTTGGTGAGGTCCTCGTAGTCCTGGGAGGTGAAGGGCTGGATGTATTGCTGCTGGGAGCTCGTGCTGAACAGAGGCTGGGGGGGGGACAGGGGGACGTCAGCCAGGCAGGGCACCCCGCTGCCCCATCTGGGACCCCCAACACCCACCAACATCCTCACCTCGTACCCCCCCAGCTTGAGGTTGACGGTGACATCGATGGGGTGGTTGATGACGCCCACCACGGAGCGCACCAGGGACATGAAGAGCAGCGGGAACCAGATGATGCCCACAAGGAAGAGGATGATGAGGCCGCCCATGCCGTACTTCACCACCTTCTTCTTCTTCTGCCCCTTGGGCTGGGGGTATTTCTGGGGTGGGGGGGAGACAGGACACGGGGTAGGGCGTGCTCAGGGGGACCCCAACAAATCCCCAAAAGGAGTTTAGCGGGGGACCCTTCCTGGCACAGGGGCTGTACCTTCTCGGTCTCCCGGCTGCACTTGATGATGAAGATGTTGGCGTAGATGTCCTCCACACACATCCAGTTGGAGAGGGACAGCGTGGTGTCTGTCCACACCCAGTCCATGATGGCCCGCAGCTCCACCAGGAAGGGCACGAGGCGGAACCTGGAGGGACACGGCGTGAGGGCGGTGGTACGGCACCCTCGGCGTGCCTGGGGCTCCCTGTGGCCCCGTGCCCTACCCCTGGAAGAGGAAGAGGTTGAGGTGGTTGTATTTCTTGGTGAGGAAGTTGCCCAGGATGCGGGTGGGGTAGCCACAGCGGATCTGGTAGGCCGACAGACCAAAGTAGATGCATTTCACAAAGTACCACAGCTGGGCCACCGTGTTGTGGCGGAACAACCTGCGGAAAGGACGTGTCACTCTCCAGCCACCAGCCTGGGCCGCCACGTGGGCTCGGGGACACCGAGGTGCCACGCAAGGACCCGGCCGTGCCGTGGAATCCTTTGGGACGTACCTTTGGGTGACGGCCGGCAGGATGAAGAACATCCAGACGTGGATGCCGAAGACCAGGGTGACCTGGAAGATGAGCTTGCCCAGCACGGTCTTGCGGAGGTAGAGCGCGCGGTCGATGACCATGGTGGTGAACTGGAAGAGCACCATGACCAGGAAAGCCTCCGGCACTTGGTTTTCCGACAGCGAGGAGGTGATGTCAGCGGCCGCCGAGTATTTCTGGGGTGTGGGAGAAGTCAGGATGTGGCCCAGCCTCACCCCGTGGCGGAGGCACGACAGTCAGGGCCCTGTGGGACACCCAGCTCACCCCAAAGGCCCAGAAGCCAAAGATGATGATGATGAAGTCGACCACATCAGCCAGGAACATGTAGGCGTAGACGTCGGTGGCCGCGTGGTTCTGCGTGTCCAGGATGTCCTGGAAGAACTTCCACACTGGCTGGTACACGTTCTGTGCCCTGCAGGGACAGGGGACACAGGGGACAGGTGACTGGGACCGCACCCCACAGCCCCCGCCCCAACCAGCACCGCCACCACTCACATGGTGAGGAAGAAGCCCTTGACTCGCAAGCCGAACGCCTTCAGCTTCCTTTGAGCATGGTTCTCTTCTGATGTTTCCTCCTCCTCTTCCTCTTCCTCCTCCTCACCCCCTTGAAGTGAAGCACAGCGTGGGTGACAGCCAAGGTCCTGCAGGGCCACCCTGGGGGTGCCAGCCTTGTTCCTCACTGTGGCATGAGGGTTGGGAACTGGTGCTCACCTTCCCCTGGAACTGTCTCCATCGTCCTCCTCCTCCTCCTCCTCCTGAAGCGGAGCTGTGTGGCCCTGGTTCCCTCCTCCTGCTCCATGGACTCACCCTCCAGCCCCAGCTCCGGCTCCGGCCCCGTGACTGCTCCCAGTGCTCCCGGCTGGGCTGGAGCCTCCGGCCCTTCCACAGCCACCACCAGCGGTGTGGACACAGCTTCCTCCGGCTTCTCCTCCCCTTCCTTGGTCTCCTGATACTCCTCTGTTGTCCTCTCCTGGTCCCACAGCCCAAAAGACTGCGGAGGGACGCGGTCAGGGGTCCTGCTGCCCTCCAGCCCCACACACCTCTGTCCCCATGCTGCAGCATCAACTCCTACCAGCACTGGTGGGAAACCACAGCAGAGCCACCCAGCACCCACTGGGTTCTCCCCAGAGCCCCCAGGAGCAGCTCCAGCTCCCCCCAGACGCCCACCCACAGCCCAGGGCTCACCAGCAGCCGGGAACGATGGAAGAAGAGGGCCAGGAGCTGCAGGAGGTCATACTTGATGTAATGGGTGGACTTCTCCAAGCCCACGATGCGAGGTGGGAAGAAGGGCTTGCCCTCGTAGCGCAGCAGCGTGATGTAGCCATTCCAGGGGAAGAACCCAAACTGGAAGAGGTATTTCACCACCACTATCACCTGTGGGGACACTATGGTCAGTGGGTGGCAGCGGGGGCTGGGTGTCACCGTCCCTTCACTGTCCACCCCCTGCCCACCTCGGTGAAGACAATGGCAGTCATCCAGAAGCGCTTGGTGGGCCGGGGGATGGAAAGCATGGCCCAGAGGAAGATGAGGACGGGCAGGAAGAGGGAGATGATGGAGCCGGTGACCATGTTGTTGAGGATGATGACAAAGTAACAGAAGAGCTCGGAGTGGGCGGTCACGCAGCGGTACCCGGCCAGCAGCAGCTTCAGGAACCGGTTGTGGGATTGGTAGAAGCGCTCCGACGCCTCCAGCTCGTAGACGCACAACCTCCTGCGGGATGAGGGCTGGGGTGAGCCCCCCCTGCCACCCCCAGCCCTCTGTCCCCACGCCCCGCCGTCCCCACGTCCACCTGCTCTTGAGGAGCTCACTGGCAGTCCGCCTGCGCTGCGGCGGCAGGGCCAGGAACTGCTGAGTCTCAGCCACGTTCTCCTGGGACCCCAGGTTTGTCACCTGCTCCTGGCTGCCGGAAGAAGGGGTAGCTCTTAGGGGTGACAAGGACAGGGGTGAGTCCCCCTGCCCGCCTGCCCCACCCATGGCACTGCCAGCAGCCCCCTCGGGGGGATCTATGCACCTGCCTGGAAGTGCCGCTTTGGGAATTGGACAGGTTCGTCTCCTGTGGGGCCTCCTCCGTCGGCAGCTCGTACAGCTCATCCGGGAACTGGTGGTTTATCTCCTCTCCCTGTGGCGGGCAGGACGTCAGTGCCACCGTGGGACGCCACCCCCGTGCCCCGCTCCCGCGGGCGGCGCGGGCTGGGCTCAGCAGACCCGCAACCCTCCCGTGTCCTTTCTCACCTCCCAGCGCCGAGCAGGCTGCTCCTATAAAGTTGGAGGCGTCTCCTTAGAAATCCAGGTAAAAGATGCTGAGGAGCAGGATTAACAAATGCGAAGGAGCGCCAAGCCTCCTGCCAGGCAGAGACATAAATACGGTATGCGCTTAGTGGTACTGCAGTCCCGGTGTACATAAAAGGAAAAGTAATATATCTCTAAGCGTCACTTTATTATACGGAGTTGTTCCAGCTGATTTTTAAGGACTAAGACAAGCCGTTATGTCTCCTCATTGCCCACGCAGCTAACTTGATAGGGAGGATATTCCAAATAGGATGTAGTTGCAATGCTGATGTTGCATAGTATGTGGCATTGGCAGCCATATCACTTCCAAACTGGGATACGGTGACTACTTTTTCTGAGAAGAGTAAGGCCATATGCCCAGACTCACTATATCATATTAAATGGCTATGAAAGGATGTAAATTGATACTAAAACTATATTCTCTTACAGAGCTTGGTGTCTGAAGGAAGAGTCTTTCACAATCCCTATTCAAAGTGCATTTACCTGATTGCCGCTAAACACATCTCTCTCTCTACATCAGATCGCAACTGCACAGAGTGAACTCAGACCATTAAAGAAGAGAATAAGAAAGCTTCTCGTTCTCCCAAATGGATCTCTTAAGCACACAGCTGATGGGATGCCAGCAGAATGCTAGCAGCTACATCTAATCAAACCACTGATACTGCTTTGATTTTTGAGGAGTTCAACTCTTGATTGAGTTTGGCAGCCCTGCACCCACAAGGCTATGCCTGGGAACTGCAAGGCAGAGAAAAAACAATTCTTTCTGTCTTTGCAAAAATCTTGATTGAATAAAATTATTTCTTTATTCTTAAATCTTCTTTTACAAGTGGGTATGAGCACTATTTTTCAGTTGCTATATCCCATCAAAGTTCAGTTCTCATCACTGTTAAGTTCTGCTGCTCATTTTGAATGCAAAAGAAGATACCTAAAAGAACCTGTGGGCTTTGCTTTTTTGTGATGCATTCTGAACTCCTCCCATCTGAAACAGGCACAACTAACGTGCCTTACAGGGGCTTCTGATTTGTCTTGCTGTGGTTGGAAATTTTTAAAGGGTTTTTTCAGCATATGGGAGACATGATATATTGATTCAATTTGAAAATCCTCAGATATTATCACTGCACTCCATCTTGTGGAAGAGACAACAACATGTTTTAAAATGATTCTGTAGTGGTTTGAGTAATTAAACCTAACAATGTTTGGTTCATACTGCCAAAGCAAAGAATTACATATAGCAATGGATACAAGAAGTTGCTTAAGTCTTAATTTGCCTAATTGTACTCAGTGGATTTGTGTAAATGTCCCTTTTAGATATGAGATTCACATAATCTTTGTTTTGAAAAGGAGCTTTAGCAAAGCATTCAAAGAGCCTAATTTGAAAAGTGAAACTAAAGAAGAAAATCATCTGCTTTCTAGGTGAGATTTCCAAGGAACAGTCCAGATTTGGGAGAGATTTGGGGATGGTGATCTGTTGGGAATATGTGGCTGGGGTAAAGATTCTGCTAAGCAAGATTGCTCTGTAGGGAATTTACTAGGTTTGGGGTTTGGTCTGTGTGGTTTTGGTGGTTTTTTTGCTACCCCTGTATTAAGTACAATAACCCAGTTGTATCTAGACAGTGTATTGAGGATCACTGTCTTTACAAGGAAAAAAAAAGAGAGTGATGAGATTCACTCATGTTTTTCTGAAACTGCCTTTCATGGCTTCTGACCTTTTTCCCCTTGATGTTCAGTGCTGCTTTGGGAAATCAAAATAGGTATTGAGGCAACAATTGTGAACCATAGCAAGGGCATAGTCATACATATTTGTGTCTGACCAGATTCAGGGAAAATTGAGAAACTTATCTGAATTCGCTGCTATAAAAACGTTAACCTTATAATAGTTGCCCTAGGACAAGCTTGAAGATAAAGCCATTTAACTTTAATGAATAACTTAAAATACAAAGGGCTAGTTATTCTAATTGTTCTTTGGGCGGAAGCAAAAAGGTTTTGTTGAAAAAAGACTGTAGAAAAGCTTAGTCATTCAGACCCAAAGAAGCAGGGGAAAACAAGTCTTGCATAGGAAGGAGTTAGGAGAAAATTCTATTGTACAAATGAGAATCCTCTGCATTACCTCACCCCAGAAGTAGGTTCCACAAGGTGACTGAACTTAATTAACAGCCATGAACTATGCTTTTCTTTTTCTTTTCTTTTTTTTGGCTTTTTTTCCCCATAACTCCCCCCTCTCTTGCAGTGGCAGTAATGTCCATGCCTCTCTCTGTGATGTGGCGTGGAACAGCAGTGCAAATGAAGCACTGGCCTTTTCTGTTTCATTTACCAGGGAGGGGGTTGACAGCAGCTTGCTGAATGCTAGTGTGCTTTACTGCTCCAGACTGAACTGTCTGGTGAGGTAGAATTGATCTAACTAATGCCTCAGTGCAAACTAGGTCTTGAAAGTGGAGTGTCTCAGTCTACTATTCTAATAGTGGAGACAGGTCTCATTAATTCCTGATGTATACTAAAGGCAGGCAATCTTCATTGACTACAAGTGTTTGTTAGCCTTTTCCAGACTCCTTGGTCATTTTCCTAAAGCAATGACTCACTACTCCATCACCGCACTGATTACATTAAATTGTTACTATTATTACAATGAAAGTAACATAATGTTTATGTTAATTCACTTTATGTGCACTGTCAGAATTCTTGAAACAGTCCTCAATTGAAAGAAACCTACATGAGCATTTTGGCATCATTTAGACTCCTTCTGTTATGCTCTTCAATATTGTATATAAAAACTTGGAGCAAATGACCAGACCTTTTTGTGAAACCATTAGTATTGGGAGGGGGGCAGGATCAGGACATTACTGGTCTTATCTGTCTGTCTTAAGTATCTATCTACAACAAACCTCACAGATTTATTTTTTTATTCTTACAGAACAGGCCAAGAGTAATGCTGGGGGAGGGTTAACAGGGAAGATTCCCCAAAATGAAGTCTACTTTTTCGAAGCATTCAGCCTGGATGATTAGAACAATGCTGTTAGGTTTGGGTTTTTTTCTAACAGTAGCAAGAAAACATGCAGATGAACAGAACAAAAGTTAGATGTTAAGAGAACTTATATTTGCATTTCCTTTATTAAGCAGAGAGTGGTATAGAATCCCAACAGAGTCCTGAGCTTCAAGGCTGCCTCTGAACTTTGTGCCCAGGAGAAAAGAGACTTCAAAATGTAGTTTCTACTACATGCAAATAAAAAAAACCCTTATCATCCTTTTTGCCTGCTTTTTTCTTTGTAATAAAATGAATTTGAAGACATGAAAAGACATGGTACAGTGTAACAAGGAAGAGACAGTACTGGGGTCTGACCTTGGTGGATTATTCATGTGCTGGAAGTTACACAAGTATTTTGTTCTGCTTACCACAGTAACTGGAACAAAGGAAGGAAGACTGGGTGAGTAAGGATTATAGTGGAAAAACAGGCTGCTATTTTGAAATGGAAATTCATGACATTGACCTGAGAATTGGTGCAGAAGGCTGGTGAATTGGAACTACTGAGTTTGAAATGTAGCATGAAAATGCTTTAACACCTTTTTTCTAGAAAAATGAAATCCTCTGTGTTTGCAGTGGAGCACATAGAAACTAATCATTTCCTCACAGCTTCATTACTTTGGCCATCTGACTGATATTGTAGTAATTCCTCTTTTATTTCTTATAACAAAGATGAAAAGATGGTCAACAAACCTCACAAATTCACCTGCCTCTCAAAGGCCATTTGCTGGTTCAGTTGCTACTGTTTGCCTTTGAAGCGAGATAAACCAAAGCTCTATTGCATCTGTGCACCATCCATATCAGCATGAAAAAAGTGTTTTGAGAAAATTCAGCTTTCAATTTCCAGTCTACAAGACCCTGTAGTGCCTGGGCTGTAACTTAAATTTTTCAGTAATTATAATAATTTAAGGAGCTTGGGGAAGTGGAAAACATGGTACAGAATAATCTCCAATACAGTATTTTGCTCTTAAAGCTCAGTTCTGAGCACCATGTATCTTCATCCCATATCCCAGCTTTAAGAAAGGAATGAGACTCACAACACTTCTCTTCATTTGAACTCTCCCATAATAGAACCAGCAAAATTCTTCTTGTAGTTAATATGCTGGACAGTGAGGCTATGTCCAGTATTATTGAAGCTGATAAACTCTTTTTGATTTGTTTCCTTTTGTTCTGTCGTCCAGGAACCAGGGGGAAAAAAATATTTCCTGGATTTCCTAGAGAGAAACTACAAAATTCTTTCCCCACTCTCTGCCCTCCCCTCCTCCCAGTTCAGTGTTTCCCATGCTTCCATGATTAGGGTGTAATAAAATAAGTGTAGTCTTTCCCCCATTCCAATCCCATCTGCACCTGTTTTTGGAAATTTTCTATTGTGTCACTTTCAGCCTAGATTTATATCTACTTCAGTTACTTGATATAATTTTCAGTAGGATCTCTGATACATATTGGTATCTCTGTTTTGAAACAGTTGTTTTTACTGATAACATAGGAATTAAAATTAGCAGTCTTAGTTTTCAGCAAATCCTTTGGGACCCTTACATTACAGTCCAGTGAAACTGGCTGGAATGATTTTCCAAGGTATTTGTGAAAGAAACTATCTACAGTGTAGTGTCTGAGCATATCCAGTTTTTGTTCAACTACCCTCTAAGAAAAGAGTAACAAAATAGGACTTCTGCCACAAGTGCCTTTCTTTTGTGATGGCACAAATTTGGTAATGTAATTCTGTGCATCATGTTAGAATTGTTGCCATTCATTCATCAGCAAATTTGACTTTTAGAAGATGCTAGAAGTGAAGATGGACAACATAGATGATATTTATTAGAAACATTTTCATTTCTTTTTATTCAGAACCAAAATCAATGTCCCATAATCTTAATTTCATGAAGTTCTCACTATAATAAAAGAGGTTTCTGAACTGAAAACCAATAACAAATGCTTCATAGATCCTCCATTATAAAAATAATGGTGAAAAACTCATTTATCATTGAAAGAGAGCATTATATTAAGTAAGGTATACCATTAAGTAAGTAATACCATTTACCACTGGGAAATACCTGTGTTGGAATTGCCTTCTCTGAACCGGTAAGTAACTTCAGCAAAAAATGAACATGAAATAGTACTTTAAAACAAAATTTTCTGTTCAGTCAGTTTAATGACTTTTAATGAAAATATAAGAATTTTATGGAGATGTTGCACATATTTTTTAGTTCTCTCTTTAAAATAGTTTACCCTATTTTAATTGAACCTGGGATTAGCTAAATTTTCAAATTCTCTGTAAATTCCCTTTGTCCTAAATATGCCATACCATTTTTTGAACAGCATTAGTAGCTCAAGAGTGACTTTCACCCGTGGAGGCCTTTACAATTCACACCCCTCAGAGAGGAAAAAAATGTCCCAAGGACATCCATGAATGGAGAAAATGCCCCACTGAGTTGGACTGTAGATATATATATATTTTCTTTTTCTCAGAGGGTGGCAAGAAACCCTAGCACACATCAGGTGTTTTGAGTGTAAATCAAATACCATCTCTCCTCTAGAAATGCTCATTGAAGTTCCAGCTGTGCTTTTCCCTCTGCACTTTTTATTTACATACTCCCTAACCAAGACCCTTTCAAGTTGCAGGATCTCCTCATCAACAGCTTCCAGGCCCTGTTGGTTGTTTGTGTCACCAGAAGAAGGAAGCTGGATGGAGGGATCCTAATGACAGTGGAACCTGTGTATATTCATTTCATCATCCTCCCACATCTCCAGGCAGAGCATCACTGGGCTCCTTGGTTAGCCTTCAAGAAGTGATGAGTGGTGTCAGGGTTTCTCTGTTTCATGCCCTCCTCCAGTTCCCTAGCTCTGTATTTTCAGCGCTGCAACTCTTCCCTTCCTGTCATTTGTTTGTTGTTGTCTGTTTTTCATCCTTGTTTTCATTACCTATAGCCCTCTCCCTCCCTTGGGGGTCTTCAGTGTTTTGCTGATACAAAATTCTGTTTTTTCGAAGCAGAAAAGCAAGTAGAAACAGCAGCAGTGGGAGAAACTATTTACAGAATGCACACAAGCTTTGCCACCTTCTTCAAACTCTTTTCTTTGTACTATCCTAGCTTCTGTGGCTCTTACAGAGATAAATCCTTGCCTAGTCCTTTCACTGTCCTTCTTTTGG